CGTTTTAATGTGGAATCCGTCAGGTGTTAGGATTGAATCGTTTTCTTATAAAAGTATCTGCAGCAGTGTTTGTCGCATTATGCATGATGGTTGCGTGGGTCCAGTCCTGCCCTCGCATCGATCGACCTCGTCAGGCAACGCCATCTAGCCCCCATTGCTCACTTCGTTACCCCTTTTCTCACAGTCTGGTGCACCGATGATCATCGGACGAGTATTTGCAAGCTATCGGGTTACGGGCCCTTAATACCGTCATCCACGACGCTTTTACGATGTGACTCGGGAGGCAAAAGGACCTCCTCCATATCTGAAATATCATATCGAAGCCGCTATTCCCGTCACGCACACTCACGAACTCGCCCTTGGATGTTTATTGTATCAATTTCACCTAAGCCGCACTCTCTCGCCACCGACCTGTCGACTGCTTTATGGAGATGGCCGGCTTCTATTCAACTTGACCGAAAATAATTAGTAGTAATTAAATGAATTATTCAACGTGGTTGGCTGAATTATTCGATACGTCAAGATGCAATTAATACGCCGAATTTATCCACTAGACACTCACGGTTCATTTCGACTTTAAATACGCCAGAATGAATTATTCACCAGGCGCCTACCTATGGAGATAAAGCGAATAACTTTGACTACCTAAGTAGATATTGATTCCGAAACTCCATATACTGTAAATATCCAATTGGGCCAACCCAAGGCCCTACTTTCGGACCCTTGCTCTAATACGTTTAGGAAAATTTCGATAATCTCATTTGCGAGAATTGTGCTGGAGATAGCTGAGTTTTTTCTTTTTGTTTTGTATACGAGGCACGTTCTTCTCGTGTCTATAAGTGCCTCATTTATGGTCTCATCCGTTTTGGACAATTTGTGACGCTCGGTTAAGTGGTCGCTTCAGAAGTTTGTTTTCTTGTTGACAAAGTAGGTATACACATCCTTGAGTTTCTCACTTGCAACTAATATACAGGAAACAAAATTGTTAAACTATTTCAGCATTCATTTTGCTGTTTCAATTTAATTTTAAACTTACTGGGTAAACTTTAACTCCCTCATTACCATTATTTATAAAGCACTGAATACCTTTTAAAGTTGAACAATTAAAATAATTTTTGCTGCAATCTGCAACATTCTTTCTGAATGTTTATTATTTACTATTTACTATTTTCTTCACAATTTTTTCCATAATATGCTTTAATCTGCTTCTTTAAACAAAGCAACAAAAGTTTTTTGTGTTTTAAATTTGAAACTACATTGAAAAACTACATAATTTTCAGTGAATAAACTAAGTCTATAAGCGCTATTCTAGTAAAAAAGTCGTAGAAATGCTTTGAAACAAAATAATTTGGGTAAAAATCTGTCGCTAAAATATATAGAATGTGCCAGAACTAGCGCCCCAGAGAAAAATATCCATGTAAGGTAAGATACCAGGAACATGCAAAAAAAATGTTAAAAAAATTCTACCTATAAAAATTTCGACGTTATAAAAGTTTAAGTTTTGCACTTTGACTCTATTTATTTTTGTTGGAAAAATAATTTTAATAATAGTTTTTTTGCTACAGGCTATTAGAAGAGGAAACAAGGAAGCTGTATCCTAAATTGTAACTCTGTTTAATGTTATTTGTGGCTTTTATTGGTAACTTTACTAACTAATTATAAAAAAAACACATATACAAGATTATCAGCATTAATTATTAAGTAGAAAAATGTCAAATGTCAAAAAACATATCTCAAAATCTTTTTGACAGAATTTTTTAAACTTTTTTTCCATATTCCTGGTATCTTATCTTAGTGTTTCATATAATTTTAAGAGGCCTGCGCCTGTAAGATGCTATCAATAATACATATTCCGATACGAACTCGACTACAAATTTTGAAAAATTGGATAATCTTCTCTAGTTTGTTCACCTTTTCAAAAACTACAACGTTTTTAGTTAGTTAGTAATTAAGGTAGATAAAATAAAATCATATTCATGCATGACAAAACAAATGATAAGTATTTCAGAAACACAGCAGTTTATGACTGTTAATGAAACAGTGATTAGTTTGACAACTACTGCCATGAGTTTCTAAAAATTAAATAATTGAATGTGTATTTTTTGTATTCAGTGTTTTGTGACTTTTGTATTTTTGGGTGCGTACATTAGGCGCAAGCCTCAAATAATTGTATAAAACACCCTGTATAATATACACATAACTAATTTAATTTATTTTGTGGTTAGTCCACTTTAATTGAAAGAAGTCAGTTTTACTTGTGGATACCATAAATTTATCTAAAAATAAAAAATAGTATAAATAACTGAGCAAACGGTTTCTATTTAAATCTGTGTAAAAAATAATGTTTTCTTCAACTTAATTCCACTAAATGTATAAACATTTATTTGAACCTAGTTTCTGCGCTCAGATGTGGTGGAACGTCTTAGCTTTCATGACCCACAATTAAGTTTAATTTGCCATTAAAATTCATAAGTGTAGTTTTGGAACTACAATAATCTATAATTAGAATTACGTATTTAAAGAGAATTCCGGAATTGTGTCAAGAATTTGATTTATGACTTCTTAAAATTACATGATATGATAAATATAAGTTTTTAACAGCTATCAAGCTGTCACATGCTTGCAAGTGGGTAATTTTTCTTCATTTACATAAATGCTAATTGGAGTCTTACTCAAACTCGTTAAAATGTTTAGAAGAACATGTTTTTCCTACGGAAAAATCTATAATTAAGTCTGGGTATCGATAACATATTTCCCTGGATAAATTTTAATATTGGCTTTCGCAAATGAAAAATCACTGGTTGGAACTAGCGAGATATGAAGCTCCAATCTATCACTGTCAATGTTTTTGAAGTTTATCAGTCATGTTTTCGCATCTAACATTTCGCGTTATTACATCCATTAATATCCCATTTAAACAAACGGAAAAAATGCCACTAATTGGTCTAATTTAGACTCTTTTTGAGTTTCCGGCTAGAAAACGTAATAAAATCGGGTAAAAACGGCCGTTGGTGAAGCTTTCCATCGAGCCAGAGCAACGAATAACGATAAAAACGTCGGTTTCGACGTGATGTTTGTGTTTCGTGTCCGCATCATTAACTCTGAATTATTATTACCGAAGGGTTTGTTTCCTACGCAATTACCCCCGGTTGCGATTTACCGCTTTATTCCTCAAGTAACGTTTTGCAATTAGCACCGCAAAAACGCCCTAGGTTTAGCCGATAATCACCAAAACTTCAGAGATAAGCGCAAATCTGGCGTCCTGCAATATTTCAAACGAGATTTTTCCCGATCGCAGAATAATAGTAATTGAAAAGTCGGGAAATTTACTTATTCCGAACGAGCAACAAAACGCCGGAGTTGGGAGTTAATGTTATTGCTTTCACAAGTTCGGTTCGAGTTTATCTATCTTCAATGAGTAATGACCGAGTGTAAACTTGCTGAAATGGAGATACAGTGACAAGTATTGTTGCGAAATGAAATTTCAGGTGGGTGTAAGGGTACAAAGCGATGATTTCAACAATAACTGCATAATTCTGCTAAGTGTCAGATAAGGCATGTCTCAAACTTAGACAGACCACGAATAAATTACAGCAGTCCGAGGGCTGAAAGTACAAATGCTCTTCGCAGTTTCATCAAGTCGGACCAATAACAAAGAAATATGGATAATTTTGACACCAAAATATTAATCCAACATACATTTCATTAAAAAAAATATTTAAAATGACAAAACGAATTTTTTTTTTAAATAAAATAAATATTTTTCTTCTTAAAATTAGAAAAATTTCATGTTTCTATTTCTTGCAAAATTCAAAAATTAAAAATAAATAGATTATACATAAGGAGAAAGTGCAATTGGCTCCACATAAAATGAATCGTACTTATTTATTTTTATGACAAAAAAGGGTTTGAAAGAAACTTCAAGACAAAATTTTAAGTTCTTATGTAGATATTTTGAAAATTTTTAATGGATTTCAGACTTAATAAATTGTGAAATAAAATATAGATCTGAGATTAGTGAGATCATTTCCTTTCTATCCAGCCAGTTAAATTTATTGCAACATTTTTGCAAAATCGACTAAGGGTTGAATAAAACGAAAGATTTGTTCTAAATTTTATTAAAATAAAATATGGGACGAGCAATTTCCTGAAATAAATGTCTATAGTTTTGAATTCAACAGCCACATTTTTTATAAAATATAGTTTTATTTGGAATTTGGAATGAAAAATGATCCAGATTTGTTTTGTAGGCAATAGGAATGTCACAGATCATGTTTGCCACAAAATGCTATTAAATAAATAAATTACTAATCCGATAAATAAAATGGAAACAGCTTTATTGCGACATGACAAATATTTCTCTTTGTATGAATGTCAAATTAAGGTGCTTTGATGACTTATTAATTGAATTTTACTACTTTGAGCAAAAATTAGTTTGTGATCGATCATACCCATAATTGGAGACTTGCACACGCACGAATTATCAGCGAGGGATGCAATTCGGTGTGCACAAAGGTTGATGCAGGCCCGTCCTAAGCGGCTTATGCACCGAGATAAGTGTAGTGGACTATATTGCGACGGGGCGACATTTATGGCAGGGGGTGCAAAAAGAAGCAGGCGATACGGCCGCTGCACTTTGATATATGGCAGAGCCGGATTTAGGTGGGGCGACCGCCGCAGGCGTTTAATATATATCATAGCACCTAGACGTGAAATTTGAAAATTTCAGCTCGAGGGAGCCCAAGGCCAATTAGTGTAATGCGCTCTCGGGTATTTTTAATTTGCGGATAACGCCGAAATATGCAAATGGACAAAGATTGCGCCAAGTTTGAGAAATTGCGCAAAAATTTATTTCTGACTCATGGGTTTATCTCGTTGATAACGCGATTGCTAAACATTATTACCAATCGACAAATATAATAACCTGACAAAAGAATTTGCTGAAAATTTGTTCACACGATTTTCACCGGAAATGAAAATAATAAAGATTTTTCACTCACTGCGAGGATGATGTTCGTGAAGAGAATCACATATTTGATGACAAGAATTTGATTTTCCAATTTGAGAACGTTTCCTTCACCTTCACCGTCACCTTTTCCAGCCATTTCAAACCAAAAAAATGAAAAAAGGCCACTAAGACAATTACTTCGTTTATTGTTTTGTCGATAGAAAACACTACACTGAACCTTTCTGCGTTAATCGCATCACACCTATTTGCTCAATGATAAGATAATTTATCACAATTCAAACAAAATACCTGAATCACTTGTTCTAGTACGAGGAAACATTGTGATGAATTATTTTTATATCGTCTATCAGTATTTGAATAAGAACAGATAAAATTTGTCGAAGGAAGAAACAAGTGTAAAAGCAAAATAATTTATTTTGTAACTTATTAATTGCTTTTCTTAGCTAAACATTATAAATACTGCTTTTTGTTTTTTACAAATAACACCAACATTTCAACGATAATTCTAAAATTTAAGTAAATCTTGGTTCTACAACTTGTAAAATCGGAGCCATGGTTAAAGTTTATTGTCAATTTTTCAGTCTAATTTATAAATCCAAGATATTAAATTAAAAACTTAAAATAAACGTAAAAATTTATCAAAAATGTTTTTCTATGTGAAAAGGAAGGAAAAACGCATTATTAATATTGATTTTCTGTCTCATAGATCACGGAATACTTTAGATATCCGATGGTAGCGACCCCTATTACGAAAGGCTCATCCCCTCGCGTTATGACTGTCACATATGAATAAAGCTATTCTCAGTTGAAAAGCTCGACAAGCAATAAAAAATTTTTGAGCACATTATTCGATGTCCCATTAAGATAATGATTAGTTTTGATTTGTAAGAGCTTTTCGCTAATGGAAAACATCCTCGTGCAATCCCGCTTTAATCCCATGTATTGCTCCAGTAAAAATTCGATAACGAAGTGAAACAATCATTTTAATAGGTTTCTCTCGGTTTTGCAAATTGATTTAATAAAATTCGCCGCCAGTGTTACCAAATTATGTAAAGCCAAATCCAGCTCCGTCCTGACAAAAGTTTTGTTTGGTTTGATCTTAATCTGAATGTAAAAGGAGTTTATGAGTCGGTTGTTCTATATTCGAGTCACATCCGAGAAACTTGCCTCTCTTTATATTGAAAAGGGTTTTTCTCGTTAGACCGTAATTAAAATAAATCTACCGCCTAGAAAATCCCAAGTTTTGAACGAGCTGCCAAATAACGCCTCTAATAACTCGACTAACTTTTTCTCTAGTCGAAGATGGTGAAGTTTAAAAATTAAGTAATTTGCCTCGAGCCGTCTGTTTTCCGGGCTTCCAACTTTTTGTTCAACTGACAATGAAATTAAATCTATTGATTGAAAAAGTTTCAGGATCTTTGCTACGGGAAAAAATAACGCGTTCGCATGTAAAATATTTCAGTCTGCGACGATGGAAATGACGCCGAATCGCATCCGGGCCACAACTCGCTCAATTGTATTTTTTTCAAATAAAATAGGATGAGGTTAATGTATTTCTACGTTTTGCTCTCAATTGATACTAATAGTGCTTGATGAAAAGCAAGTTTGGGTAAATTGTTCATTTTAATTTAAATGCCGTTTGTATTGACAATTGAAAACGAGGCTCTAAAATGACATTTTACTATTTAAATAACTATAATCAATGAATTAATTCTACTGTTTGTAGCTCAAAACAAATCAAAATACATTTTTTTCAAATAGATATTTGTCGCTACAGATTCAATAGTTAGCAAACGTCCTTTATTTCACTCAAACAAAATTTACATAATGATTCAAGTAAAAACATATTAAATTACAAAAACATATTAAACAAAAGCAAAAACCCTGGTGCCGCCAATACAAAAAAATTGAAACCAATTTTTAAGCTCCCATTACACAAATCGGAACTACATGTCCAGCATTTTTTTGTGTCTGTATTTTGGCAAAGAGATTCAATCTCAAGACAACCCTTCAAGGTACTGCCACTTTTTGTATCTGAAAAATATTATAAAGAATTTGTTAACTACTGTTAAAAGCTTGTACCTTTGGCAGTGTAACATTTGGCATCGGATTTAATGCAAATTACTTCAACTTGGAACTGTTTGTCGCAATTTCCGCCGAGTTTTCCGCATCCGTAACACTTTTTTGCACCATTGGCTGTATCTGCAATCCCAATTAAACAATTTTGTGTTGGTTTTTACCTCACTATTAGAAATAGTTACCAAATAAACCAATTACTAGAACTGATACAAAAGCAAAAATTACAATTCCGTTCATGTTTTGGAAATATATTTTGACAGTTGTAAATGACAGACACTAATAACGCTATTATTAAAATTTTATATTTTTGTTACTTTAGCTTCAAGCATGCTAGGTAGGTACTTAACAAATGTTTAGTCCCATGTTAACTATTGTTTTAAAACGATTCGTTTTAGATGTTTCAAGTAGTGCAAAAAAATGTTGGAAATGTAAGACTTTTAAAGGTGATTGCTGTGTAAAGAATATGAATGAACAAATTTGCAAGAATGATACTAAGTGTCTTCTTTTTAGAAGTAGGTTTATATAACATAACTTCAAACAGGTTTGATCAATTTCTACAACAGTAAAATTCCTTGGTGGTACAACGCGAAGATGTCAAGAACGTAAAGATGAAGTCTGCAGCAACAGCACCTTTACCACTTGTTACTCTTGTAATGAAGATCTGTGTAACAAAAATGAAAGTCAAAATGTTTCGTCCAGAATGTTTCTTGTAGCATCAATGTCTTTCTGGTTATTGTTAAACTCTGTGATATGACAAAATAATATATGAAATTAATAGGACAAAAATTATTGGTTTTACGAGTATAAGAACTTGGAAATTTGTTTTATATATTTATTTGAAAAACAGAATTTTAATTTTAACACTATTTCAAATCTTATTTATTTTTTTTTAAAAATAATTTTTGATCTTAAAATTATTATTAGTTGATTACTTATTATCAATATTTTAAGTTATGTAGATGAACATTTTTAATTTCATTTATATCTTAGAATCTTATACTTTAAAAAACTCACCCGGCGCATCCACCATTTCTAGATATTTTTTTTATTTCTGTTAATAAACCTTAGGTCCAGATTTACTGAATATATACCTCAGACAATTCGTTTTTATTACAACTTTTTGAAAAATCATTTTGTTTGCCGCTTCGAACTCTCCCAAACATCAGGAAACGTCACTTCCGTTCCCGGAAACTTTTTCAATATTTACATCTTTTCGTCCTCTTTGGAATTGTACGTCATAGTTGTAAATTTAGTCAAAGTTTTGCGTCGATAAGATATTGTTTCAAGAGAGTCGTAAATTCGTATCTTGTGACTTTTCTGCGTTGTTGTACCCTGATAAAGTGTCGATGAGGTCCATTTATAAATCGTGGTATTTTTGAGTCGATTCGAATCACGTTTCGCACCTGTCTCGATCCTTGCAAACGTCACGTTCTGTTTTCTTAATTGAGATGTTGAGTTATAACAAACGGAATTGTAAGCGTTGTGATCAGGATCAAGAGATGAGAAAGTTGGACGTGATATTTTTATTGGAGCAATTTGCGTGTTTGTTGAAAGTCGGAGCGTTTTACATAAAAGTACTGCAATAAGAGAGAAAAAGTTTGTCCATTCCTGAGACGTTTTGGAATTAATACGCGAAAGTTGGGATAGTAGATAAGGGAGTCTATCGAGACATTACCCCAGGGCTAACTGAAATAATCCCGACTCTGATATTTTGGAATTCGCATTGAGACCGAGAATTTCCACCGCTTTCACAAATAAACATCCGTTTTATATACGTTCCCTTAAATCAGTTGTGATTTTTATCGGGAAAACTTTTGAGCATTAAAAAAATTGCCAAGCGAATTTTTTTGTTTGTTTATCAAACCGATGCTATTGATTGAGTCGAGTAGCGCAAAGAGCAGTTCGAGAATAATGAGATGGCTTGAGGGAGAACATTACCGACGAAAACTGTCGCATTCTTGATTGCGTCGACTCTCTTATTCTTATCTAGTCGCAAAGATAAGCACTGAGATTCCCCTATTGATTTCTTTGATACAACCAACCTGCTAAATCGGACAATTTTAAACTTCGTTACTCTCGTAATAACCCACATTCATTTTACGATCGCATAAACATTTTTAACAGAAATTTATTACGGAGAGTTTGCAAGAACGTTTTCTAATTAGAAATCAAAACTGCTTACTTTACGCCAAAATTTTTATATTTATTACAGAAAGGAATTTTTTGATGAATAGTTGGAACTCAACTTTTTATGCTTTATTAAATTCTCTACCCACTATCATGCACAAAATAAAATCACTGCGGGAATTTTCTTGAATTATTTTTTATTACGACGTGATTGCTGCAGCAAATTTTTCTCCGTTTCAGGTGACCTTAAAGAATTTTCTTTCTTAACTGTAAAGCTGTACCACTTTTTTACGTTTGTGATTACATTAATTTGTAAAACATATATTTTAAATGAAAATCAAAATTTCAAATTTTAGTGTAGTGTTCGTTTTTCGAGCTCCATTATGGAGATCTCAAAGAAATACGAAGTCGGTTAGATTAAAGAAAAGTTGCATATTTTTATGCTAAACACTTATCTGAAAAAAATGGTGTATCATTTTTAGTTTTTGAATTATTAAAAAACAACGAAAATTTGTATATTTTTTTTTATTTCTTCAAACAAAAACCAAAAGAACTAGATGTTTTTAACTAATACGTTTTTGAGTCACATTTTTAAAAGGAATCTAAATCTGTTATCATATGTTCCAAGGCGTTCTTGATATGCCAGAGTAACAACACTCAACTTTGCTTTTTTTATGAACGCTTTGGAAAATATGATGAAATTTAGATTTTTTGTAAAAAAAGTGTTTCAATAATGTCCTACTTAAAAACGTCTAGTTTTTTTAGTTTTCGCTTGAAAAAATAAAAACGAAAATTACAAATTTTTGTTTTTTTCAATAATCCAAAAACTAAAAATGACACATTAAATTTTCTTTCAAACAATTATTTAGCATAAAAATGGGCAACTTTGTCCTAATTTAACTGACCTCGTATCTCTTATAATAACTGAGATCCTCATGGTAGAGCTTGAAAAACTGACACCCTGGATGATTATACAGTATGTCCCCGGATTGAGTTTATAAGAAGAAAAAGAATTTTATATTTGATTTTACGCCAAAACTGCATAGGAAAAGCATTTTTTGAATTTGTACTTAAAACTTCATTATTGTGATTCAGTGAAAAGAAAAGTTGAAAAGAAAAGTTAATTTTTCTCTTGATTTTTTCTCTTAATTTTTCTCTGCTTTTTAAGTCCTATCACATTGGCGGTTTTATTTATTTGACAATTATATGTCACTTTGACAATTAATTAATTAAATAATGAAAGTTTTTGTTAAAAATGACTTTGTTTTTTATGTTAAAGCTGTTTCTTTGAGTTGCTATTTATTAAAATTATATTTTTTACAAACATTTAACTTGCGCAAACTTTGTCAAAATGAGATCATTGTTAAAATAATATAACCGTCAATGTGATAAGACTTAAAAAGCAGAGAAAAATTATAAGTCCAAAATCAAGAAAAAATTTCTTTCTACTGAGTTAGAATAATGAAGTTTTAATTACAGATTTGTTCGTTTGTTTGTTTGTTTTTCCTTTGCAGTTTTGGCGTAAAATTAAAGATATTTTTTTCCTCTTATAAACTCAATCCGGGAACATACTGTATAATAATACTACATTTCCGAAAGCTACATCTAATAAAAAAAGTTAAAAAACAACATAATACTAGCTAACTTGCAAAATTAATACTAAAATGGAAAGCTGAAAATAGCCTCGTTAACACGGCTTAAGTCCATTAAAACACAACTTTTTGAATTTTTAAAAAATGCAGTAATATGCATTTTTTGCGTAATACTCATTTTCTAACTAAATAAATAACTTTAGTTTATTTTATAAAGTTTTATTATCCATTTTTACAATATAAAAAGTACATTACTAACTAAAATATTTACAAGTAGTAGTAAATGATGATGAAGATTATAAATAAATCAGTCCTCACCGATTTTCCCTCACATTTATTTACACAAAACTGTACAAGGATCGTCCATCGCGACCGCACGTCACTCACCCCACAAAGGGATATCCGGGATACGGTGCCGGGAAGAATCCCGGGAAAGCCGTGGGTTGTACGGGCACCGACGCCGTCATATACGTCGTTACCAAACTCGGTACGACTTTCGTAGAGAAAATCGTCGTATAAGCCGTCTTAGCCCCGAAAGTCAGCTTGAGCACCTTGCTATCAGTTTGCGTAACCAAAGTGCTTTGGACTACAGGCGACGAAGTGACGGCGAATTGAGCCGCGGGAAACAGAGGATTCACCGGAGGAATCGGTGGGATTGGGAGCGCAGGGGGTGCCAGTGTACTAGTCCCAAACTCAAAGTCTGTTTTTGTTATAGTTCCTAGAACCTTGGATATAGTGCTCAAGACTGTGTTTCCCCCGTTTACGATAGGAATAATGTGAGATTCGTAAACTGTTTCAATTTTGAAGACCGGTTTTGAGGTGGTGATGACTTGGCCTTGAGCCGCGGCCGGGTTTAAGAGTCTCAAGAGAGCCAATTGTTGGAGTTGATCAGGGTTTAAAGCTGGGGTTTGTTGAGGTTCGCTCAAAACCGGTTTTGATTTTCCTGTTTTCACTTTCTGAATTTCCGGAAGTTTGGATTTGTCAACATCAGAGATATCAAAATCGGAACCAATTTTGGCTAAATCCAAATCTTGAGGGAAACTTCTTTTCAATTGTCCTTCATCTTCTTGATCGTTTTGATCCCCAAACTCCAACTCCAGATGCAACTCAGACCCCGCTTCATCCAAATGACTATTAAACTCTTTCAAAGTTTTACTCGGAATGAAATGATAAGCTTCCATAGGTGGTAAAGTCTTCGTCGCCGTCACTAATCTTGTTATTAAATACGTTTGAACGAGTGTTGAAGTGGCTGTTTCGTTACCGCTGTGAATGACGGGCAGGATATGAGTCTTGAGCATGGTTTGAGTCGTGCTGAATGTCTCTGTGAGTGTTTCCAAGGGCGGAGTTTGCATGTCGGATGCCAGATAAATTGGTGGTAACGTGGCAACACTCGAATCGAAGAAATTATTGTCTTTGTAATTGCTTGAAGTGGCTAAAATATTTTCCGTTAATGGCTCGCTGCCTGACGGCGAGATTGTGGCTTCGGGAGTGTTCACGAGACTTTTTTCAAATGTGGACGTGACGGTTATGTAACGGGTGTTTTTCACGTTGCCGGCCTAGAAAAAAGGAAACAGATGGTTAATGAAATATTACACAATAGAGAAAAAAATTAAAAGAAAATACAGAAGAATTTTTGTTGAAATAATAATTCAAACAATAAAAATAAAAAAGGCAACTAAATTTTTGCTTGTTCTAATAAAAAATGTACTTAAAATACATTCAATATAAAGTAATTTTTTTTAAATATACAAAATTTTAAAATTCAAAAGCCAAATTTTGTATATCAGGTGAATAAAAAGTATGGGATCAAGCGTTCTTGCAAGAAAGTAATTACTTTACAAAATAAATAATTAGTACAACGTAAAGTCGTATAAAATATGAGCGTTTCACAGGATTTTTGTTTGAATTTCTTTTTTACGAACGCTTGAATTTCTAAAATGTCTGTGGTGAGCTTACAACGTAGTTTTAACAACTTGTTTAGAAGCACTAGAGTTTAATTAAAAAAATTGTCATAGTAGATTGCCATTAAGTCTGGTTTTTGAAAAACCTGAAAGCAACAAAAAAAATTTAAATTATTGTTCTTAATACACAATCACATTTTTATTGTATTTTGCATTGCACTAATATTTTTGTGTAAGGTAACTATAGTCTGTAAAAAACGCTTAGTTTCATACATTTTGTTCACCTTGTGTGTAATTAAAAATTATAAAATAATCTAATAAATAAATAATAAGAATAAAAAGTAACTAAAGAAAAAACATGATTATATAATTTTTAGTTAAAAAAAATTTATTACTCTGTATATTTCGAGGTATTATCCCGGCGCCTCCACCAAAATTCGCTGCTGTAAATTTAGTCTCTAAAGTATATGAATTTTTTACATTAAAATTAAGTTTTTACAGTATAAAATTCGTCTGGGAATCAAACTTTCCTTTCGAGCCTGTTTAGCTAAAATTGTCCCTAATATTTTATCACTTGGGTTTTTTATACCTGGAAGGTGAAAGGTGACTTGATTGTGGCAATCTCGTAATAGATATCTTTAAAATCCGGCGGCGTGGAAATTTCCACCTTGAGCGTTTCGAGTGGAAACGGCGTGTCAAGTTTATTTTCGGTGGAGCTTTGATCGTCAATAATTGAAGCAATTGATTCGGATTCTTCGAGTCCGTCGACGTCGTCGGACCTCGCTTGGGGCGTAACGACGTCGTTGAGTGCCGGAGACACGTCTTGCAGCGTCGTCGGCGTCGTTCCGAGCGTCTCGTTACTGGCGTCATTGTCGTCGTTTTGCTTCCTGATGGTAACGCGAGGCTTGGGTGTCGTCTTGTATTGCCATCTGCCAGGAGACCGATTCAATTTGAACTTGTAGAGGCTTGTAGATGCGGAGGTTTGCTCCACGGTAGAGGTCTGGACTTTGGGCTTGTAGCCACGACGACTGTAGCCACCGGAGCCTGAGGATTCCGTGCTGGTACGTTGCTGTTTACGACGGTTCTGGTAGCGTTTATTCGACGAAGTTGTTGCTTCTTCACTGTGTACAGAAGGTCGTGATGTTGTAGTTTTTCTGCTACTCCGACCGTATTTGTGAGGTCTGTGTGAGGTGTTGTGTCTGTATTTTATTTACAAGTGTTAGTGCTGTGTGCTCATGCAATCGTGCATTTGAAATATTCATAGCGGTTGCACATTTTGGAATTCCGTATGAAAATATGCCAAACAACTTAATTAAAAATTTCGAGAAATATTTACAAAGCAATGTTGAATATAAATTTTCAATAAAATTTATTTTCCAAATTTTACTTTATAATCTTCACAATTTTAAGTAGGTATTGTGTCAAAGTGACAATTTTTAAAAATATTAATAACTTCATTAAAATATTTTTTTCTATTTCGGTGTCACAATGAGCATTTTTTTCTATTTTGCGCCTAGAAGAAAACTTATTTTGATACTAAAACCGATGCTTTAATAAGCCATTTCAACACCTCGGGTGCTGAAATAGACTAGTACAATTTACTTTCTAGAGGTTGATAATGGTGATTTTCAGCGACTTTTTGAGCGATTTTTGTTATTTCAGGTGGTGTGCATGAAATATTTGTAGTACTCATTGCAAATTGAACAAAATTTTGAAAAATATTCGAGAATTGACACTTCGAAAATCGAATTTTTCAAACATTGTGACATTTATTATCAACCACCACCATATTAGTGCAGAAGTTCCTAAATTTTATAAAATTGACTTTTATGTTGTACGGAAAATGCGCAAAATAGAACAAAATAGCATAAAAATTTGTCTTATAAGTCATTTGTCATACGAAACGCGTTCTTTAATATAGACACTCGTACTAGTTTGTAACTAAAAACAGTTGTATAAAATGCAATTTTGTGGCACTGTTTTTTTGGCGACAATTTATGCAAACTTTGGTCATTACTGGCCATCAACTATCGTTTTAAGTAAAACATTGTTGCAGTTATATGTATTTCACCGAAAGTAATGCAATTTAAACTATTTTTGAGCAACTTGCATTTCCCATACGTCAAATGTCAAAAATTTTAACTGTCAAATATTGTAGAAGACAATCAGCAAAGTAGTCAGGCTAGAATCATATCCAAATGAGGAAAACATGTTTTGACAATATCAGTTTTCCATTTTTGTTAATTTGACAAATCAATGTAAATATGAGTATTTGCAAGCGTTTTTGCTCCGTACCTCATTGCAAAAACTATGTGAGAGGTTCTATTTTGATGCGTTACATTCTGAGATAGAGATTTCAACTTTTGTCATTATCATTTTAAATAAAAAAATACTTTTAAATACGTTAGGTGACAGATTAAATAAAACTTTTAAGTTGTCACTAAATTTTGTCAAAATCCCGTCGTCGTCTAAGTTACGCGTCAAAATTATTAAAAGAGACATCTGGCACATCAACTGCAAACTATTCAAATAGGGAAAACATTGATGGTATTAGTACAGTTGCTGAATTAAAATTCCGGGCAGTATTTTTCTGTGACTTCAAAAAGTTTATTGTAAACTGCCTTTTACTGTCATCAAGACTGACATTTGATAATTAAACTTTTCTGTCGGTGACGTTACTTTTGAAAGTAAATAGGTAAGTCAAAGTGACATAAACATGACAAGAGTAAAAAATGAAGTTATTAATGTAAAAGTTGTTTTAGGGTTTACATTATGAAAATGGCAATAGGTACTTCCTGAAATTTTAATTCCGCAACTGTACCATCTATTGACAGCTGATTTTCTCCTATAATAAATTCAATTTAAAAAACGCTCAATAAAAACAAGTTTTACAACCTCTCATTCTGATAATCGTGCGTTTGTAACACTCGCCACTGCGTAGTTCGTGTCATAAGCTACTCACATCACAATGAGGGTGTTTGTGACACTTGTTTTTTAATATACTATTTTGAGTTTAAAGTACCTAATAGATATACTTACTTATAAAGCTCCAATTCAAGATTTTGAGTTTCATAAAAACATTTACCAAAGGTACGGTGATCTACGAATTTAATAGGAGTACTTTATTGGAAATAAAAATATTAAGAAAAACGGATTGCTTAATCAGGTTTTACTCTTAGTATGTTATTTACTCAACTTTTTTGTAAAAAAAATGTGTGTACCTACAAAACACTCAAATTATATTTTGTTTCACATCAAAAAGTAATATCGGTATAAATAAAACCATTTCTTCCGTTTGCAATTAAACCGAATGAATATTTCAAATTTTCATACATTGGAATTTTTAGTGGCACACGGAATGCACGCTGCTATTATCGCAGGTAATTAAATTTACAGACTATATGGAATGTCAATAATTAAAAGTTAACAGTAATTGCTATTCCACTTTTTTTAACGTCGAATCAGCGTGCACTCTATCGGTGGATCCACACTTCAACTCACTTAGAAATTCTCCCTTGGTTTCGTGTACGTTGCGATTTCTTCTTGGTATGCTGCACCTCCTCGCTCTCCTCCTCCTCCTCCTTTTGTCTATTTTTGAACCGCGGCTTAAATGTGGGTCCCGCCGGTTTCCTCGTCGATTTGATGGAATTCGAAGATTCCGCCGCTACAATCGTCTCCTCGATGGAACCCGCGGGAGTTGGTTCCAAATGGCGATGATGCTTGCTTTTCCCCAACGAAGGGGCGGCTGTTTTAAGAATTCGCAACGTCGGCGACGGACTGATCTTGGCTTTTTGCGGATTGTGGATATGTGAAGTGCTCTGGAGGACTTGTGCGTATTTCCCCGAAATGTAAGTCCCAATCACGCTAGTCTCGTGGATAGTCGTCGTGCCATCCTTTACGACAGTTCCTCCTAATTTCGTGACTAATCCCGTTGGGTGTAATGAATCCGGACGTTTGTTTTTGGGTTCAGAAGTCCGAGGCTTGAGATGGAACTTTGAACTGGGTTTCAGGTTAATAACTTTGTAGGTTTCTTCAACAACTTCAGACGGTTGGCGGGACAGGAAGTCATATTCGGGTTCAGCAATATTGTTGCCGAGGATAACCGCCGGTTCTTCTTCAGTTTTAACCGAAACAACACTACTGATCGCTTTTTCCGAACTTGTAACAATCTCGACTTTACTAGATATTACCGGAGGACCACTCACGACCTCCACTTTTGTAACAATACTTGGAGAAACTTTTGTGCTTGGTTTGTCTTGACTTAAAGTTTTAACTTCGACTTTACTGGAAATTATTTTAACTTCGGTCTTGCTTGGTTTTATTATAACTGTTTCTTTTTTCGCAATTGGACTCGTATCGATTACGGTATTTGAAGATTCTACTTTTGGCGATTCTGAAACCGGAAAAATGTAACTTTGTTTTCTCTCGAATTCACAATACCTGAAACAGCGGCGCTTTGCGGGGAGAAAACCATGACAGTGTTTCCGATTGTAGTGGTAAAGTCGAGGAAGCCATAGACAGTTTGAGTGACGTAATTTCCCTGATTAACAGCTGGGGGAAGGGTGACTGATGAGGGATTGACGAATACAGGACCATCCGATGAAACGAAATTCACTGAAAATATCAATCTTTTTAATTATACCGGAGGAAATGTTGCACGATATTTCTGAGAAAAGTTTATGAAATATGAGCGACGGAAGTTTGCTCGTTTTCGTAGCTCTGGAGAACAATTTAAGAAGTTTACTTTTATAGAAGCTTCATACAATCACTATAAACTCACAGTGTTCATTAAAACGGCTTTGTAAACGAAAAGTAGTGGGGAAAGCACTAAGTCAGTTATTATAATCGAGTAGCTGGGCATAAGTGGTGGAAATATAGGTACAAATAAAGCGAAGGCGTTTACTAGCGGTTAGTCCAACAAATCGTGTTGTCATTTATCTTAAATGAAACTCTTGTTTTTAAAATAAATGTCACAGGTTTGTTAAATTTGAATAAGTCGATGAAAATTGTTTCCCATTCCGTTTGAAAATTCAAAGATATGAAATCAGTTTATGAAATATTTATTCGTTACGCTATCATTTTTAAATTGGGATTTCTCTTTGAACCTCAATCAAGAATCGGAAAAAAGCGTAAAAGCCGTGCTTTCACTATTGAAACGGAACAAATTATCTGCTTTTCTGATATTGTTTTATATCAAGATGAAAACTATCAACTTTTTCGATTCCATTCGACTTTCAGTCGGGTGCATCTCGTTTGTCCCAAAAACTCGCATGCTGCTTAAATCTCTTCCGCTCCGATTCGAGGTAAAACTTTGCCGCTTAGCATAACCGTTTGTTTCTGTGTTCATAAATAAAATCGTTAATTTTTTAATCACGACCGAATTAAGCTTTTAGGGAAAGAAAAGTTCGAGAGTGCCATCGCTCGAGTAGAAAAATCGAAAGGCGGCATTATGAGCTTAACCAAATAATTCAATTTAGGAAGTGATGGGGAAAAGCTGAATAATTGCTATGAGAGGAAAATGAAGATTAAGCTCGCGCTCGGCCAAATTGAGATAATGACCAGTTTTCAAGAGATGGGCAACGGATTTTATGGGTCACGTTTCACTTTAGGGCTCTTGCCACTCCACAAATGATGAATTCGATGAAATCAATAAAAGACTCGACTATATTTAGAAATGCTATTTAGGGCAGCGATAAATAATTTATCTCACATGTGATGAAACAAACATTCTTTAATGTTTGCTGTTTTCTCATAATTAAAAAAGTTTCATGAATAACTTGGATTAGGTTTAGTGTTTTTAATCAGCTCAACTGTGCGCAAAAATAGAGGAAATTTTAGTGAAGCCTTTTGCTAACATGTAATAATTTTCCATTTAAAATTATTTACTTTGTCTTAACCAAAAAAGCTTTTATGCGGAATTTTTCCGGTTCAATTAGCTCGTAATTTATCACGTGTAAATACGAGTTTGTATACAAATCTAAATATTCGCTTAGCAATTTTCAACAAAAAATTTTTCTCGCTATTGCAGATGTGTCGTTTAATATCTTCTTAAATTAATAATTCTCTACGTCTCTGTTTTATCTTCTTCATCGTTCTCTCAGACAAAATATATGGTCGGAGAGAAAACACGACCTAGTAATTTAGTCTAAAGCAAATTGGATTAAACTTAATCAAATATTTCAGGTTTCTGTTTTAATTAAAGAAATTCGCAGCAAACTGGAAGCCAAATTTATGCGAAACATTTTCATCTTTTGGTATTGCTATTACGAAATCATAATCCAAATTAATGCCGGCATAAAGGAGAAGCATTACTTTGGCTACGGGGAAGTAGTGATAAGTCTGAAATCTACTGAATAAAAAACAAGCAACGCTAAACAGATTATTTTGAACAAAGTAAAATTTACGTAAATGGCATTTTGACAAAAATTAAAGCAAAATTAACAACAAATGATTGGTCTTGGTACTTAATATATAAAAATAATTTTCTATAACTAGAAATCATAATTATGTTTTCAATTGGGGCTAAAAACTCTGTAGATATGGCGGAATCTGATTGCAGTATTTCCCAGTTAGCATAAATTTTCGTTTGTAAAATTGGACGTGAACGAATGGGATTTAAACAATTCGGGCGTTGGTTCGTAAGCAAAACAATGTATTGAGACGTATTTTTCTGGTTCTTATAGGAAACGAGTGCCATAAGTCTCTCGCAATATGTGATCCGGATTTCAGGCGCCGGCTGTCAAGAGTCGGCTGAAAACACGGCTTTCGTACCGCAGCAGCAAGACCCCACGTCTGTGTTTAATTTATAACGCCACCTCTGCAACGTCACTCCGAAAATTATTGCCCTTCCTATCGCCGACGCTGCTGAATAATGATTTTTGTTTTATCGCCACTAAAAACGGAAATGAATATTCATCCCATCCGAAAACAATTCCTGTTTACGATAAGTAGCAGACCGGACTAATCCGGAGGTGATTTTTCGCCGTCCCTCTTCGTATTAACGACCGCTTCTGCTATTAATTATAAACTTCATGTCTTGCTTTCATATGTTGTTAGCGAACTTTCAAATTTAATCAGGCGTGCGAGCAATAAAAACCAGAATACTGACATGGGTCAGACGGCTGCGTCCGAAAGCTCAGATTAACTCTAATCGCATGATCTAGTAATTGATCTGCATTGTGGACTAAACTTTGAAAAACAATCATTTTCTCTATTCGTATTTCTGCCCAGAGCTGAAATCATTTCCATTATTTGCAAACCTACATGTTTACGTTCTTCAAAGATTTTTTCTTGCATTAATTATTTATCACAATTTACAATATTGTAAGCTGACTCATGTTTCACTAAACCTTGACTTGTAACCCCATTAATGTCAAACGCTTTGAACGCAGTTCAACGCTTGATTTATCGACGAATTGAAAGAAAATTATTTATTGTCAAGTACTTGGCGCAATACAAATCTAGATTGAAAAAACACGCCCTCATATCTAACACTCATTGATTTTGTCAGATTTTAACCACCTACTAAGCAGATCAGAACCAAATAATCTAACGTAGACATAAATTATTTTTGTTATTTGAAAGAGATTCTAGAACATTGGTCATTTTTTCTTTATTTACCCATGTTTTAGTCAGATTAAGCTCTTATTGACTTGCCATGGATCATATATGGTCTGAATTTTTAATGGGAATTAATTCTTTATTTCGGTCTTTGCACACACCTGGGATTTAAGATGAGCTTTAACTTTTTAAGCCCTTCATTAGAGATTTAAAAGTAGCAGATGTGTCTCTTACACAAATAATAGATTTTGGAATTTCCATTCGTGTCGAGACTCGATTTATTCAGGCGGTAAATAAATTAAACGTTGGGATTGATAATAAATATCAGAAAAGCACAGTCACAAGAATAACGTTTGTGCTTCGGTTACAAATGGCCGATTCTAATTATGTTTAGATGAAGCGATGCATGAAACCTGGTGATGTTGGTTGGAAATTGTTATTATCCCCTGGAAGTGCTGCCAACACATCATGTTCCGTTTTGTTCGAAAATTGATTTAGGGAATTGTGTGATAATGTGCGAAAGGGCAAAACCTTGACCTTCACAGAAAATCCTGAATAAATATCGTGGATTTGAAATTTTGGGTTAATTAATTGGATTAGATTCTAATTAAGTGAATCAAGAGAATGGCCTTGCATTGTTCTAAATTATAAAAGATTTAATTATTTTTTGTGCTAATAATTATTATTTAAGAGAAGAAAGTGACACTTCTGCTAAATTCTAATAAGGTGATCTCACTCAGATTATATGACGACGTTTCCCAAACAGTGAAAAACAATTCAAGGTTTAACGTTTTTTGAACTCTTTGTTTTGATCGGGGAAAAAAATTGCCACTTCTAATGTCAAATCAATTAAAACATAACTGGAATGTATGTTCTAGTTTTTTGGACAAGGTTTAAGGTTATGGAGAAATATTCTCTCAGTGTTCACCTTTTGTGTGTCTCACAGGAATGCCAATATCCGCAAAACGGCCCCACAGTCATAAATTAATGAAAACAAGAAGAAAATACTCGTAATGTGGGCTCAGTATAAAACGTGGACATTAATAACATGGAAGTATGTAACGTCAAAAACAGAGCTTTTGAGCTCAGGTGACTATCTCTACTTCGATTTATGTCTAATGTTTGCAAACAATTCGAAAAATTGTTACTTGAACTTGATCTCGGGTCGAATATTCCGGACAAGGCTGATAAAGTAAGCGAAGTGAACGCTTGCTGGAGTTTAATACATTAAGACGTATGAACACAATGTTACTCAATTAAGACGATAAACCAGAAACAGATTGCATTTTGCCTGAACAGGTTTAATTGTCTTCGGTGTATAAAGTGCAATTAGTCTCAAGTGCACGAACTCCGGCATATGGAACAATTTATATGCTCGAACCATTTAAACTTAATGCGATAAATAAGCAAGAAACTATCGCAGACACTACACGAATTCTATATTCACGCTTAATTCACTCAGTATACATTCATGTTAATCAACGAATTCTAAAGAATTATTTTTTATTTATAAAAAATACAGTTGCTACATATTACAAAAATTGCACCAAAATATACTGGCCGCCAAAATTAACCGGACAACTACAACTAAAATTTTGCAATTTTCAAATTGCAATATTTTTGTTATTCTTTGTCGGATTTCGACGAATTTTTATTCGGCTTAAAGAATGAACTTTGAAAAACATTGTAATTTAATTCGAAAACATTTCTAATTTTGTCTTGTAAATGTTATACCTAAAAGACGAGAGCACTGTTTTTTTACTTTTTTATAGTGAGCTGTAGTGTGCAATAGAGGGAAAATTAAGTTTTTACTTATTTCAGATTATTGCCCGTTCTTTTTTGAATGAGGGACAATTTGTTTTAAAATTTTATTTTCTGGTGCCCCAGAGATACAAAGCATTGAAAAAGATGTTGCTTTTCCAGTGTTACTAAATATTCGTTCAGAAAGTAGGCTACATAAAAAGGTAGTTAAACCGAAAATTATTGCTTATGTCACCAAAAAAGCACAATTACGTTTTTGAGCACAAAAAGTCTGAAAAACTTGGAATCTCGAAGGATTACAACAAGTAAAACGGTTAATTATTGGAAGCTTCCATGCGCCTATTTTGAGTTTTTGACACATTTGACCTACATAATACGAACATTCATTGAAATTGGAAATGTAATGCTTTTATTGAAGGTTTATATTTCTCATGTCTCAAGAATTAAAATTATAGAAAATGTGGTACATAATTCAGAAAAGAATGGGCAATAATCTGAAATCAGTAAAAACTTAAGTTTGTCTCTGTCGCACACTACAGCTCCGTATAAAAATTAGTAAAAAAACAGTGCCTTCGTCTTTTGAGTATCACATTCAGAAGACAGAAACTGGAAATGTTATTGAATTAAATTACAATGATCTACAAAGTTTTTTCTTGAAGCCAAACAAAAGTTCGTCAAAATCCGACACAGAATAACAAAAGTATTGCAATGTAAAAAAAAACGCAAAATTTTAGTTGTCCGGTTAACTTTGGCGGCCAGTGTATATAAATGAAGCAGCCACCAAATGGCTCCTAAAAATATTTCCCGGAATAGAATTTTCCTAAACACGAAAAATGCATTGACGTCAAATCGTTTAAAGTTAATTACAATGCCAGATAATTAGTACTTGGTGAAAATCAACTAATAAAAGTGTTTATAATATTTCAATTCAAATACGTGCAAAAGAATTGTCATTAAAAAGTTTTAAATAATTGATTTTTATCTATATTTTATACCGCTGCTAAATAAATTAATTGTTTGTTTATTACTTTCCGATAAACGCTCACTAAAGTTGGACTCGAAAATGTGTTTGCATGCGTTGAATGAGAATAAGTAAATAAAATAAAATTTTCGTAACAATAAAATCGGCAATTTTCCGAGTCGAAAATAGAGTAATAACGAAATTATGCCTTTGTTTACTGTCCGATTTCCTAGACTCATTTGTTCCGCCTTTTATCGCGTGAAAATGAAATGCACGCGTTTATTGATTAAAACCGTCTGCAATTGTAAACCGCAAAATGGAATGTTTGGTTCGATTCCGGTGTGATTCTTTCCCTCCTCACAAAAGCTCGCTTTGATAAATTTCACCCAAATGAGCGGATGATTAAAAAGTGTCGTGGCATGTTTGTTAATAAACTAACAGCAAGGGAACGCCAGAATTGGATTATAATGAACGAAAATAACTGCGTCAAGCGATCGATATGTTTGATTTTCATTTTACGTTTGTTGTCATTAATAAAACGATGATAAGAGTGGGTGTGGAGGCCTTGCAGTAACGGTTTGTGTCGTAGTGCAACTGACTCAAGGTTAGCTATGTTTATGGTCTTCAAGAGGGATTTTGTTACAAGGTAACGGGAACAAGGTTCCACTTTTCAAAAATGCTCAAATGAGTCCCCGCGTTTAAAAATATTGCCGAGAAAGGATAGCGGACGTGAGATTCGCAACAGATGACGGCAAACTTTCAGGATTTTTACTAAGTTACAGAACAGTTTTTTTGTCTTCTCGGTCGAATTGCACGGAGTTATTTGCGATATTGGAGGATTAAAACAATGGAGAAAACTTCACCAAATATATATGTAAAATATGCAGACGATGAAAGAAAAGCATTCAGAATTGGGACAAAATATTTTATGAGTCTCCCGACATAAAAAATAAAATCAGGCTCTTATAAATAATATACATACATATTTATTTATTAAAAGCACTGAAAGAAAAAAAATTATTAATTGGGCGATTATTAATTTTGAATAACATCTCGTTTTGTCTGAAATAAAATTTCATAAAACCGTTTATATTTCAATTTCGTTGTAGTTGTATATCCAAACATACTTACTTTATTCGTTTTTCCTGCTCACAAATTCGTTTATCCGACCGTAAATCCGCCAAATTTAATTCCTTGCAATTCCGTTTTCGTCACTGTGTTTTTTTTACAAAAACTTTTTCTTCCCGATTGTCGCGATTTAAAATGTTATTCGAACACGTGTGAAAACGCACGCCAAAAACCTCGCTTTCTGTTCCTTTCCACTCTTACATTATTTACTATCCCATAAATCTGAGCCCACATGTACCTAAGATGGGAAAGTTTACCGCGACTTGAGGGAACTGTAGAATTTATAAATCATAAAAAATCTAAAGTTTTTACCGAGCATAACCGACTTGCTTTCAACGGAATAGATGTTGGAGGATTAAGCAGAAAATTCAATTTTCTTCACTCCGGGAAAAAGTTAGACGGACAAAGCATGGAATTTTTAGACACGAATTTATTTACTTTTTTAAATAAATGACGCAACAAAAAATACTCTGAAAGTTAAAATGTTCAAAATGCATTAGGTACTCCTTTTGCTTGGTGCATTTTCATTTCGTGTTGCAGGCAATATCTTATTTGGAAATTAGATATAAAGCTATAACCGCAAAATCTTTTCAGGTTTTAATAAAATCGTTGCAGCAGCGGTTAAAAACTGCAACATTTGTGTACATTAGGAATCCGAGCATGGATAATATGAAAAATAAACGTACATTTCAGCAAAATTCTCGTATCGAAGTTGACGCGGCTTTATTTTATTTCCGTTTCAGAAGAATTTCGGAAAAACCGTAAGGTAAATGGTTGCCAGACAATTAAAACGTGAAATTCATTTTCAGTTCAATGATTAAAAAGAGAAACGTGGAGTTTTCCAGCACATAAATATTCATGCGTTTGCTCAACTTTAATTCAAACGGATGTCATTCTTGTTTTGTGTTAATATGAAAGCCGCGATCATTAAGTACGAAGTCTTAGTCTGTTAAATAAATACGTGCAAAAATTATTATACTCACTCGTAAATAAGCAGCAAGCCAGGAAGAAAAGACGGCGATCCATCGTGTTGCGATTCTACACCAAACACATTATCCGGGGACGAGTGCCTGAAAAAAAAAGTGATTTTGAGTAAAGTTTGCAAACGAGGAGACTGTTCGTCTAGTAAATTAAAGACGTTTTGCCGGCTGTGCAAGAGTTTCATTTTGGGGAAACTTTCGCGAACATATATTACGGAATAGTTCGCATAGAGTTGCAGTGAAACGGATAAATTTTCTACATTTCAGGATAAGAAACGCACTAATTTGGGAGAATAGAGATATTCGCCGAGAAATAATGAGAAATGAACAATGAAACAAAAAAAAATGTTTGGAGATAAGAAATAGAACTGAAACGGAGACAAATGGATAAAAGGTCTGCAAAATAAATAGTTATAAAAAAATGCATCCATAAATGTATTCATAATTGAACCACTTTTTTCATTAAATTAACTACACGATTCTTCCATCTTTATATTGTAATATGCATGAGTACAAAGCAAAGTTTCTTGTTTAAAATAATGTGAGAAATTCAAATATCATTCTGTAAATGTCTATTTTCTATTCTGAAATGATATAGTCGGATATGGCCAAGAGATAAAATAAGAAATATCTTATATTCTGGGATGCTTTGAATAACGTCAAACTGGAAAATCTGAAATACTGAAATAAACCCAAACTTAAAAACCTAAAACACTAGAGTAAAATCGAACTTAATAAACCCAATTTTACAAATTTGAGAAACCTAACTAATTCAAATAGAGAATAGTGAAAAATCCGTATGTTAATAAATCCGAATTTAATTAAAGCTTTTGATAAAAGTTTAGAAAAGATATCTTCAAAGTATAAGTGCAGTCAACGTCTTAAAATTAGTCAGCACATATTTTTAAATCAATCAAAACATTTTTTGTCTCCGAGACAACCATTACAGCTGACACAACAACAATGCTTCATAAAAAGCGCTTTTTTGACCGCGAATTGGAATTTGTTGCGCAACGGTCACACCCGATGAAAAATCTCTTGGTCCCTCCCTAGTATGTCCTTTTGTCTCCTTGAACTTGCCTGTGAGTAAAAATGAATAATGAATTTCTCGTGTCTTTGCCACGTGATATACTCTCGTATGCTGTAAGAGCTTGCCTAAAGGACGTAATTCGAGCAATTTGAAATCCTTAGTGATTAACTTATCCAGTTAGGACTAATAATCTTGTTTTGATTTGAGGAATTAGTAAACTTCAACCTTGTTTACCGTTGAAGACGTTGCCTGTGTGGATTCCCCGTATACGGCCTAAGCATGTTAAGCAAACTGTCATATCGACCGTAGTATTTCGCAAACTCCCAACTAATTATCGCTTGATTTATCCTCAGAGTGAAATTTTTGATATTCCGTCAAATCTCACTTTCAAATTTACTTTCTTATTATTCATTGCGTCTTTGGAATTGGTTCCTTGCGATATGACCAGCCATTTTCAATAACATTTTACTTTATATTTATCGTGGGGCCGTTCTCTTTTATTGACACATACTTTAAAAATATCTCTTCAATAATCTCGAAGCACGTAGCAATTTTAAGATGGTTTGCTTTTGCAACGCTGCAAGACCCAGCCACTGGAGACTCTTAAGAAATGTGAAATATTGTTTTAACGCTCCTTTCGGAGTCGAAACTTTTTTTACTTTACGGCAATCATTAAGTTTTATGATACGATGCTGTCACATCTTTTCGAATCTGAAACCGAGAGAGCCAAAAAATACGGATTGGAAGAGTGAAAAATGGGACGAACAATTGGATCGTTATTTTTGCGGATTAAAATCGAGAGAAAAAGGAGGAGAAAAGATGTTAAAGCGGAGAGACAGACACCTGATTTGTTCTTCAATTTAGGCTTTTTTGTAACTATTTTTTGGTCAATTTTAGAAAAAAATATTTCCAAGCGTAATCTATATTTATTTTCCTTTATTTATTACAAAAAAACATGTTAAACACAAAAATAATTCTTTTGTTATGATTCATATAAATTCTAATTAATGCATTCTTTTCCGATTTGGAATTTTTGAATTTCTTATTTTTACATGAATTGCTCATAAAATGAAGAATTCTAGTTGCAAAATCGGGCTAATTCGTGTCTAGAAAGCGTCTTGTGAAACGAGGAAGATGGTTTTCCTAAGCCAAAACAAGAGAATGGACACAAACTCAATTACTTTTTCTGTTTACGCTTTAATTTTCCAATCACATAAAATTATGTAAATCAATTATATTTCAAAACACATGACATAATCGGTTCAGAATTACATTTTTCGTTTAGTAGACAAAAATGGAAAGATTTTTCTCGTAATAACACCCTACCACACTGTGATTACGATAATCGTCTTGTAATTTATCAAGAAATTCTCGTTGGGATCACTCAACTTTCACCTCTGGTGAATCTCTTGTGAATTGTTATTTTTTTGAAAAAATAAACGTTTATTAAGTCTTTTCCTTAAGGGTGCTCAAATCAAACTTGAAAAATTACCAGCCAATATAGAAAAATGTGAAACTAACTTTTCCACAGTGACTACAAGCGAAAATTATTCAAACTCGTTCACAAGCCGGGGCTTCCGGTTATATCAAACGAATTCTTTTGTGTGCTCGGTCTTTGTCAAAACGTTTCACTTACATTCCTCTAATTATCCAACAGATGAATTTATTCCGCTTTGAAAAAGGACATGTACCGCCCAAGGCAGAAAATAGATTTTAATGCACCAACAATTAGCACTTTTTATGTGAAATTAATGAACTGTTGAAAACTGACGCGATTTAATTGTGCAAAAAAACTAAAATTGAAAAATTAGAGCGACATTGGAATGGAAAAAAATTGAGTGCGTGCCACGTGACCGGAAAAACTCAACGCATGGTTTTACAATTATTGCAAATTATTGCGAATAATGAATCTTTAAGTTTAACAATTCTGCTTTTAGTCTAGTACACTAACTCAAAATGTTTAGAATTCTAAGTTTTTTATTCGAAATACGAAAATTAGAAATTAAAACACCAAATCACAAAATTGTAATTTCAAAATTTAAAAACTAAGAACATTAAAGAACATGTCACGTGAGGCATTTCTAGGAATGCGACTGTTGCGTTTCCAATTTGATACTATCGAAATGAGTGTTTCTAAAAACAATAAATTACATTGCATCGTCTATATAAGTCGTAATATCAACAATGCAAACTCTAGGACTGGAGAACGATAAGCTACGATAAGCATGCAACTGTTGGTAATGTTGGTATGTAATGTTCCAACAAAACCTGTGTATATATGTAACATGATGGTCATTTTATTATAGTCTCTTAAGTAATTAAGAACTTGTTTCTACGTTGTAGGAAATTGGAAACGTCAGTATCAAACCAATTATCTTCGCCTGATGAAATACGAGAAAAGCAAACGTTAAAATTCCAATTTATATTAAAATCCGAAAGACAAACCATAATTTTTTTCTTGATGTCGAGGCAGTTTTTGTCACATTATTGGTAATATTCGGAAAGAGAAGATTTATCGAATCTATGTAAACAGTAGAAATATCGCAAACAGACCAAAATGATAAAGTATAGGAAAAAGCTTTTATTAGAGCCGAGCATTTCCTATTCCATAAAGGGAGTGCGGTCCTTAAAATGCAAATTCTGTCGAAATCCTAAAGGAATATGCAGTAAACTAAAGTTAATGTAATAGATGGTATCTCGCAGTCGGGAGCTATTGGTAGGATTCAAATTGGAATTAGGAATAGAAACGTTTCCTCGGAGTCGACATCAATTCGATGTGATTTCACTCGAAAAACAAATTTCGACAATTTCATAACACAAAACCGCAAAATAAATTAATTTCGGCCAAAATTTGCACCGACCTTGACTACCAATCTAAGAAGCATTTAGCGTGTTGAGGTTTTACTTTCAATTGTGCCGATAGCAGATTATAACTTACACTGTAATTATTTTATAATCTTCTTTGTTTTTACTTTTTGATTGCATAACTTAAAAAATGTTCGACAAATCAACATTCGCGTTCTCTTATTCCCTGAATAATTAATTCAAAAATCTACAGAAGTGGTTATTATCGTAAGAGGATTTTCGGAAAAAAACAATTTTTCAATATGTAAATAAAAATCGTCTACCCTTGGGGCTCTAATTCGACTTTGGTGCTTTGTTTCATTAATTCAAGGCTTCATTTTATTGCGAATTTTATTCAAACATCCGTTTCGTTCTTAATTACTTATTCTATTCACACATTTGGCATTGTTGATGAATCATAAAGTTGAAAAAACTATTTGTAAAGAATGTAATTTGCATGTGAAAAGACCTAAGATCGGTGATACTTGCGTCGGAATCAAGGTTTCTTCAAAATTCGTGTTTCCTTCGTTAATTCTCCGGACGTGAACGCAATCCTTTAAAAATATCTCTCCTGATTTGTTTGTTAGACGATCCTTTTTTCGAAACATTTCCGATTTCCTGTCACGTCTTACTATCGATCCAAGTCAGCAGCAAAGAAGAGATCGGAACCGGAAGAGCATCGATAAACACGCTAAACCTTATCACAATATAAAACACGGATATTTAATATTCTCTCTCTCGCATAATTGTCACACGAGAAAACCTCCACGACGCTCCTCGAATATGTTAGAATAATTTCGGGAACAAAGCGAATACAAATGAATTCCTGTTGAATAAGTGTTCGATCTCGTTAAGAGCCCGATTAGGTCTGCTATTTCTTCGAATGTCACGACGTTTCCTTCCGCCTTAGTGCCTTTCAAGATATGAAACAGGAAGAAAATGGTGATTTAGATTCGGAGCGATAGCAAGTTTGCCAGAATTAGTCCTTTAGTCGGTGCAACGATCCATGTTATTCCAATTTCAATCCCTCTTCGAGCAACTTCTCGATAATTGTTGGGGGTTGTTGTTAATTTGCCAAATACCTTCAAACCGAAAGCCAAATCGTAGAGTTAGGGACCCGATTGCTAGACATAACTTCTAAATCAAAGCCTTTGCTATTTCGGAATGATGACTTTGTCAAAGAAATTAACTTGAGGCGACTTATGGAACCAAAATT